TGATTATGAAATGACTAATTTCTTTTCTATCTAATCATTCTATAGTACTCAATTTCTGCTATGAAAATAACAAATGTGGCAAATATGGTCGCTGTATAAATACATTATCAGATTTTAAATGTTCTTGTTCATTTTTATACGATGGTCTTCTTTGTGAAAGAAGTAAGATTTACTTTTTTGCAAAAGAAAATATATCAATATTTCTTAGTCTCAAGCCAAGGTAGACAGATCATTATTGGTCTTATTGTTATTTTTGTACTTTATGGATTATCAAGACAACCAATTCGACGGGGACTCGTATTCATTGTTAGGGCATGTATTAAGTAAGTTTATCAAATTAATGAATAATAATTATGATTTATCTGTTTTTATCATAGTTTTTGTAGATGCTGTTTTAAAATACATCAACATAAAAAACGAAATAAAGAAAATAACACTGAAAATCATGAAGAGGAGCAAGAACTATATAATATGAATCAATCTCGTCAAATTGTTTCTGTAGAAAAAAGACGATTAACGTAAGTTATTGTATTATAGTATAACCTCTCTGTAGTGGCCACTTTTGGAAGGATTTCGATTTTTTGTTAGGAGATTATCGTTACAATTACTACAGTGTATCGCTTCGTGGGTAGACAAATAAATATGTTCAATTCTTTCTTTTAGTTTATCAGAAACATCTCCTCGAAAGAAACGTTCTCTTGCTCGATTTATTTGGGTTGGCGGATTAAGTTTATTCTTTTTAACATTATTGCTTTGTCTAACAGCAACAACACAATTAACATTATTTAAACATGATGCAGTTAATGATACAGTTAAATTAGAAACAAAATGTAAAATTCTATCAAATGATAAAATGACAACTTACGCATTTGCTCCATTAGCACTTGCTTTAATACTCATTTTTTCTTGGACAAATAAACGAGAAAACCAATGTTTACATTTACGTAATGATCGACTAGCTAAAATATTTTTTAATGTTTTATAGAGTTTTTTCATAGGTTTAATATCACCAATTGAGCCATTCCGGATAGAAAATCGTTTTACGACAGCAACAGTTTTTGGACTTCTTGCATTTGAATTATTACAAAAATTTGAAGGATTGTTATTTAATGGAATGAATCTATTAAATGATGGTATACTGACTGCATTGTTTGAAATAGTAACTATTGTTCTTATTGGGTAAAAAATATTTTAGAAATGAGGAAAAACCAAGTAGTGTTATTTGCTTTAGATTGCGATATTATCCCATACTTGCTTCATTACAATTACGTAATATTATTGGACGATTTTTAATCTGTTTATATATATTAGGTAATATTATCTATACAATCATACGAGAAGGAGCATGTATGAGTTCTTTACCTATGTCAAAATTTGATTCAATTTCAAAAGAAACTAAACTTCCAACAGTATGTTAAAGAATTACTTGATATTGATAAATAAATTTCTAATTAAATCTTCTTTAGGAACTTAATACAAAATTCTTTATTATTTTTGGTTTAATAAAAAATATTCCATATTTTATTTTACTTTCATATATTACTGCTGAATTATTTATACGTTTTGCATATGATTCCATATATATTCCAATTAAGAAAAACCAAAGTATATGGTCATCATCTATTACACAATCTGATGAATATTCATTTGCAAAATATTATGTAACAAAATTACTTCGAAGAAATCCTTCTTTTAATCAACAAGTCTATTCAAAAGATGAATCATATATTAAAAAATTTCTTCATTCAATGTATCATTGGAATAACGATTTTCATTTTACAACAATAGCTATATGTACATATACAGTAGCTAGTATTTTTCTTTATTATTTATCATATACAATTATTCTTCGATATATATCATTTGTAAACTATTATACTGGAACAATATTTAATATTAGTAAGACATTTTATCTTTATTCATTGGAATTTATACTCATAAGTGCAGTTATTACGATTGGGATAATCTCACTTCAATTGTTTAGTGGAATAAAGAATTATAAAAAACATAAGTTACAATTATTTAAAGGTATATATGTAGATATTCCACCAGCAGTTAATTTAAAACCAAATACAATCCTATTAAAATCACTTTCTTATTTTGGTTTTCTTGTTGGACATATGGCATGTGGTTTTATAATATTTTTTCATTTAATTATTTTCATATTTTATGCAATTCATATAATATCTTTACATATGCCTTATATTGAATTATTACTTAATGTAATTGTACCTGTAGTTATTCTTTATCTATTAATAATGGTTGGTAGATCCACCGTTGGAAAATTTGTTTTTATTCAAAATATGAAAGAAGAAAAAGTTTATGAAAATTTTCTTTATTTTTATTTTATTATTGGTAAGATTTATTTTGATTTAAATAAATTATAATATATAAAAAAAGGAATTGTGTTTTTATTAAGATTGTTTTCTTGGTTTTGTTTCATGTATTATTCGTTTAATTAAAGCCATTTTTCTTAATATAATTTATATGTCAAGACTTGATTGTAGTTTACATGGAAGATCAACAGAAAAACTCGGTAGAATATTTGATTTTATATGAAAAATAAATAATTTAAATTCTTTAATTCAGATCTTGGCTTTACTATATATATCTCATATTTACATATGGAAGTTGCTCATACAAATCCAGTGATGCTCGGTGAGTTTTGATAATCCCAAAAAATTTCATTTTTTTTTCTTAGCTTTTTGTTCTTTATTGTACGATGATATTGTTCAACGACGTCCAAAATTTGATGATAACGATGAATCATTATCGAGAAAAACAATAGTACATTCACAAAAAGCACGTGGATTTCACGAAATTAGAAGATATAGACAATCTCGTTTTCGCTGGTTTCTTGCATATACTCTAATACATAATCCCTATTTATTTGGTCTGAGACACCAAAGAGAAATAAGGTATATTTATTTTAGAAACATTTCTTTCAGAATTACAGAACATTATTTATCTTTATCATTAAGTGTTAATGCCCAACAAGACAATACATATCTTTCTACTGATGATAATTCGCAACGATTATTAAATAACTTACCTTCTCTATCCACATTTAATGTATCAGAAATTTAAATCTTATTGTTATGTAATATTTTAGCCACGAAAAAATTTTTTTTTCTAACAATTAAATAAAGACAACATCATTTTTCGATTCTGATCTCATTCGTGTAAAATGTTCTCACATCCTGAGGGTATATGTGTGAGTGAGAATGTTTGCCTTTTCTTTTTCACACCCACATCTACACCCTCAAATCATTTTTTAATTCAATTTTTATTAACAAATTTTTTTCAAATCAGACAAAAATCTTTTCAACATTTGTTTTGTTCAAAAGAATTCAGAATTACAATAGCATATTTATTTTTCTTTCGTAAAAGATATTTTTGCACATAAAATACAAAATGATATTTATTTGTACAAAAAAATTTCTTTTATTTTCAAAAAGAAATTATTTATTCTATTGAATTAGTTTTTATTCGCATCAATCTTTAAAATATTTGTTTTATCATTTATCTTAAAAGAATATATGTCAGTAGCATTTTATTATTGTCAAACATTGACATCCTCAAGATGGAATATCAATCGAAAATGTGTTCACTTTCAAAACTTGTCTTAACTTCCAGGTTGATGAAAATTCTTAAGCTCTTTTGGGTGTGGGTGTGGATGAAGAAACCAACAAGGCCCACTTTACCTTCTTGATGGGTGATATACCAATCTCTCATCCATTCAACTGCATTGTTATGTTTATTATCATCTCTCTCGTTCTCCACATAGTTATTGTGTGTTACTCTTTTTTATTCATTTTTCATATTATTTCAAAAACTGAATTTATAAACTTGTGATGTTTTGTAGCTATTGCGATATAAATAAAAATTTTGTATGTCTCATTTTGAATTTTTATTTTATCGATTAAATTTTTCTAACTGTTTTCTACAAGAATTACATGTGATGTTTCGGGTATCACTGTTGATGTCGACGTGGGTGTCGAGCTGAATGATGCACACCCGACAACTAACTATTTTATCAAAAACTACAAAAATCTTCTCCTCTATCATCATCAGCCGTCAGCATAGTAAGATAATTACATTTCATACACGTGAAACAGTGATCATACTGAGATATGTTGCGAATCTTTCAAAGAAATATATTGATGAATGTGTATATAATAAATGAAACATATCAGACTAAAATAAAACAATATTCGATATTAAATAAACTCTAAAGAAAAAAAATTCTCAATCATCTCAAAACTTATTTATTACATGCAGACAAAGGTGTTTTCAAATATTATTTTTGTTAGAATGATTATCTGATCAATTGATACTCAGTATTATATCTATATTTTCTTATGGATCAATTCTTTGATATAAGAAGAAATGACGCCTGCCTTCAGTATGTATCCTTCTTCTCTTATATGATTGTGCTGGTTTACTTCGATGATAGATATTTGAGGAATTGATAATTTGAAGGAAGGAAATCGATCTTAGCACAAGAAAAAAAGAATAATAAAAACGATGACAGATTCTAATCTCGAAATGCAGAAAAACGGAGATTGACTAAGATTTCTTACTTGTCAGTGTTATATATACTTTTTATATTATATATCAAATCAAAATAATATTTCAATAAATTTATTTTTATTTGATTTGATTTCATATTCATTATATACTGCTAATAATAGAATACGACGAAGATAAAATGAAAATATTTAGTAGTGATTATATATCCTTCACTTGACTATCGTTGTTGTTTCTTTCTTTTCCACATTCATATGTGATATACGTGCTTGGATTATTTTTATTTTTTTCGTTGAAATTTTCTTTTCTTTCTTTCTCATACTTTATAACCAACACACGTTTTAACATAATACACACAATAACGACTTGTACTAATGTCTGACAAAATTATCTCTTCTTTACTTACACTACCGGTAGAGCTTACATATCGGATTTTGGATAATTTGGACATATTAACCATTCTATGTTCAATGCGTAATGTTTGTGTACGCATTAATCAAATTGTCGATACATATTATCGATATCAGGTACAGTTTTTCTCTATTTTTTAATCATTGATTTTCAAAATATTCATCACGATCATAATTAAATAGAAAGAAATATGTAGAATATTTTCTTATAAATTCAGCAATGTATAAATTTTTAATCGATGAGAAAAACGATCATTTTTAGCGGATAAATATCGTTCAAGGTAAAAGTGCTATTTATTTCCTTTCTGTTTATGTATTAGCATGGAAGAGAGATATGTGTATATATGTCGAGGTATCGGTGGTATATGAATAAAAACGTCTTCGATCAGTAATGGATTTTGGTTTTCATTCTAACAGAGTATCGATATAAGTAAAAGAAAAGCACTATTTTATCTGACCATTTCTTCATGTTTACTAAATCTTGTTATTTTTCTTCAGTTGAAATAAAAAATAATATCGGTCAATTTCCTCAATAATTCTTTTACATGCAACAGGTTTATCTATGACTTATCTTATTCTAATATAATGATCACTGTTTTGAATATGTAGCCTAGTTATTTTTTCGATTCATTATAATGATATATATGAATATAATTTATCAAAAATAATTATTTATAAACTGTTATATATAGGACTATACTCGAACAACCTGTAGAGTTTGAAGATTGAATTATAAGATTTATTTATAAGTCTTTTCATCATTTGAACTTTCTTTTTACTTCGTATAGAACACCACTACATTGGATCTCGAACAACGTTGTATTACTGATCAAGAAGCACAACATTTAGCTAACGTCCTACACGATAATAAAGTAATATATTTCCACATATTTGTATTCTAGCGGTCAATCATTATTTTACATAGATACTCACTACACTGAATCTCAGGTACAATGGAATTGATGGTGAAGGAATAGAATATCTTACCAATGCTCTCAAAAGAAACAACGTAATATTCTTTTCTTGTTTCCTTTATTCCATCACTTATTCATTATTTCACATAGACACTTACTACACTGAACCTTAAATCGAATGGTATCGGTGATCAAGGACTACAATATTTAGCCGATATGTTACAAGAAAATAAAGTAATACATTACCTTTAGTTTTTTCCATATTCTATTAATCATTGGTTATTTTGCATAGACACTCGTCACACTAAATCTCAATTGGAATTGCATCAGAGATGCAGGAGTATGTTATCTTGCCAATGCTTTAGAAAAAAATGAAGTAAAATTGTTCTAGCATTTTTGTTTGTCTTATCTCTCGTACATGTTTCACATAGACACTCATCACATTAGATCTAAAAAATAATAAGATTGGTCCAGAAGGTGCAAAACATCTTGCTAGTGCTCTACAAAATAATAGAGTAATATTCTTGTCATATTTTCTTATTCTAACACATCAACTATTTCATATAGACACTTACTACACTCAACCTCTCCGACAACCGAATCCGTTCACAAGGTGCACAGAGTTTTGCTAATGCTCTCAAAACAAACAAAGTAACATTCTTCTCACATATTTTCTTTATCCTATCATTTACTAATTATTTTACTTAGACACTTACCACACTGAACCTCGGGAACAATGAGATTCATGAAGGAGTAGAGTATCTTGCCGATGCTCTACAAGATAACGATGTACATTCTTTCTTCATTTTTCTCATCCTATTATATACTCGTTGCTTTATACAGGTACTTACAACATTAGATCTCGGACAAAATTATATTGGTTGTCTAGGACCACAATATCTAACAAATGCTCTCGCGGAACATAAAGTAAAATTTCAGTCTCCCTTTCTTATTGTATCACTTACATATTATTTTATATAGACATTCAATATACTCAATCTTTGCGACAACTGGATCGATTCACGAGGAGCACAAAGTCTTGTTAATGCTCTCAAAAGCAACAAAGTAACGCTCTTCTCACATATTTTTTTACCCTATCATTTACTGATTATTTTACCTAGACACTCACCACATTAAACCTCGAAACCAATGCTATTCATGGAGAAGGAATAGAATATCTTGCCAATGCCCTCATAGAAAACAAAGTAACATTTTTCTTTCATTGTCTCAGTAAATCACTGACTCATTATTTCATGTAGACACTCACTACACTGAATCTCAAGTCAAATCCACTTGAAGATCATGGAGCACTATATGTTGCTAGTATTATAGAAAAAAACAAAGTAACGTTCATCCTTCATTTTCTTGCTCTACTAGTTACTCATTATTTTATATAGACACTCACCACATTGATTCTCTTTTTTAATGATATTGGTAATCAAGGAGCAGACTATTTACTCAACGCCTTACAAAAAAACAAAGTAGAACTTTTTCTTCATCTTTATCTCCTTCTAACACTCATTAATTATGTTACGTAGACACTCACAACATTGAGTCTCGGTACAGTTAATATCGGCGATGAAAGAGCAAAATGTCTTGCTAATATCTTACAAGAAAATAAAGTAGCCTTCTTCTTCTCCTCCTCTCGTTATTTTGAATTTTATCTCTCACTCATTATCTCACATAGACACTCATCACAATCGATCTCAGTTTAACTGATATTGGCCCAGAAGGTATATCATATCTTTCTAATGCTCTCAAAAAAAACAAGGTAATATTATTTCTTCAATTTTATCCTACTAATGGCTGATTATTTCAGGTAGACACTTACCATGCTGAGTCTTAATCGGAATCGAATAAGTGAGCAAGGAGCACAACATATTGCTAGTTTACTACAAGAGAACGAAGTAACATTCTTCTTTTTTCTTATAGTATTATTTACTTATCATTATACACAGACACTCACTACATTGGATCTTACTAACACTGGCATCGGTTCACAAGGAGTATTCTTTCTTGCCGATGCTCTCAAAGAAAACAAAGTAACAATTTTTCTACATTTTGTTATCCTATCATTGATAAACTATTTCACATAGACACTTATTGCATTGGATCTCCTAATGAATGGGATTTGTCCAGAAGGAGCATACTATCTTGCGAATGCTCTGAAGAAAAACCAAGTAATATTTTATTCTAATCTTTTTATTATATCATGCGCGAATTATTTCATATAGACACTCACCAATTTGAACCTTTGGGGCAATTCTATAGGTAATGAAGGAGGAGAATATTTCATCGATCTCTTACAAGAAAACAAAGTAACATTTTTTTTCTCATTTTTCTTATGCTAACATTCATTGATTGTTTCACACAGACACTCCTCATACTGAACCTGGCCAATAATATAATACCTGGTGGTACTCAGCAACGTCTCCAGGATACACGGAAAAATCATCTGGAACTAAAGTTGGACTGATAGATGTCACAAAAGCAAACTATTATTCATTGATATCAGTATAAGAAACATATCTCAAAATCTTTTTTTATTTTATTACTTATGAATTTTGCTTGTTTTGCATAGTTTTAACATTTAATTTAAAAAACTTCTTCTTTTGTACTCATGATCTTCTAATCTTATGAAAAATGTTGATACGAATCAATTCTTTGTATTGAATTGTCATTATATGCTAATATTCTGCAAATTCATTTATTTTTATTTATGGTAAAGATTCATAGTGTTCATATCATTTACATAAGGTTTATTGCTGATGTATCTATTGATGATAAAATGATAGTCATTAGAATGTCATCGAATTGAACTGTTCAGAAGAAAAAAAAGTGTCTTATTCATTTTTCAAATAATAGTTTGATTTCAAATATTAAATAGAAGCAATATGGTGTGTACCTATAAAAAACTAACACTTGAACGGTCTTGTACTATTCCAACTCACACTCACACCTACCCTTGACAATAATCTTTAATATTCGATTAAATCTAATTATAATTCTCTCTGGTTTTTAAAAGAGAATTTAATAATTTTTATTGATCTGAACAGTTGAAGTAGAGCAATGAAAAACTCAATCGATTTATTTTTTTTACAAATAAGAAAATATTTTATTTGACAATAAATGAATTCTAAATTCTATTTAATAGTTTATCAGACACAGAATCATGATTGAAAAACAATTGGTTTATACATTTGGGCAAGTTGATTTTGTTTTATCCAATAATTGATCCTCGTAAATAAGAGAATCACCAAATTTATAAGGTAACGAATAAACAAACATCATAATATTCTCCATCCATAATCCCCAATGACATCCAATAAACCATTGATGATGTTCGATCCAAAATGGTGTACGATATGTTGCGAGAAATTGATCGATTTTTTCTTCGTTTCTCTGATTATCAATTGAATGACAAAGATCAGTATTCATCTTCATTTGGAAAACTTTCAATTGCGGTAAATAATTAACAGTGATTTGTTTCCATTGATATCCATCTAACTCTATAAAGAATATTTCAACTTTCAGGTGACTAATATTGGGTAATAATTGAAATAAATTAATCATTAGATGTTGTGTATGTACTTTATATAGAATAAGTCTTTTAACAGATAGATTCTTAGGCGATGGGAGAAATTGATAAAGAGAAGGTATCTCATCTATCTGAAAGGTTTTTAATGATACGGCAAATGTTCGTAAATATGGTGTCTTCTTTAATAAATCGACAAATTTATTTGAATACCACCAATTCCCAAGAATTGTTAAGTATTGCAACGATGTTGATACGGAAGTAGGAATACAAAAATGACTTCTACCACGAAAGCAGAAATCAAAATAGCAATGTGTCAATTTCGGTAAATTCCAAATTTGATCAATTACACCTTGAAAATCGCCGGGAGAAATGCCAAGCAGACGACAACCAATAAATTTCAGATTTGTCAAATTATGAAGATGATATCAATTGGAAAAGAAAAATTGGTTAATCTTTGGATCCGAACAAACATTTTCCAATGTTAAATAACAAAGATTATCGAATTGACCAAATATGAAACCTGCAGACTGAAAATGAGCACATTGATATGGCGCATCTTCATTATCGGAGAGTCGAAGATAAATTGTTCGATTTATTATAAATGGAAGATATATTCGACAGAAACGATTGAAATCTTCTTTGAATATTGAACGAAAATCAACTCGACAATCTCGAAAATGAATTAATAATAAAGAATTAAAACGAGTATTCAGACCATAAAAAGAACGAAAGAGGTCGACTACATCAAGTAATTCGAATAGTTCAATAAATAACTCATTGGATAATGATTCCAATATCACCTTATTTGTTGTCCTTACTGAGTGAAAATTTTAAAAAACGAATATATGATACACACCACTATGAAGAAAAATCCTAGGATGGATGGGTGTGGGTGTAGATGTGAAACTATAATAAACTACTCAAACCCATCCACCCACGCCCACACCCACCCATTTACCCTCATACTCACCGCTAATACTATGAAAATTTCCGAAAGAAAATGCAATAGATGTCGTTGATCGTCAGCTATTTTGATGAAACGTTTGAGTGAACACGTGCTATTATGAATAAAATAAAAAAGTACGGAGAAGTACGAACGGGTATGAAGAAGCGACAAAAAGTATGGTCGAGTACAGAGACGTATGAAGAAAAATAAAAAGCGCAAAAAGTGGCTTATTATTCCGTGGCGTATAGTTCTCGCGTTGTGATGTTTTTCTTCTGTTCTGTCTTACGATGTAAAAAACAAGACATTTATTCCTCTTTACACTTACAATCAACACGTTTTTTGCTGCAATTATTTAAGAAAAAATGATTTATTTAAACATAATTTTAGATATTCAGTCGTTAATTTCGATTAATAAAATTAGACACTATTTGTCATAACATGTCTACTGTACATGATGTTGCTGCCTCGAACGCACAAATTTTATCTTCTTTACAATCACCACCACATGTCGTTATAGTTGGTGGTACGTCAGGTATTGGTCGTGGTTTTGCTCTTACCATCAATCGACTTTGTCCAGCCGCTCATGTGACAATTATTGGACGTAATGAGTCTGCTGCCAATGAAATATTATCTCAATTAGGTTCCAATGGAAGTTTTATCTGTGCCGATGTTTCATTGATGTCTGAAATTCGAACAATTACAAAGAAAATCAAAGCAGTTGACATCCTTGTTCTGACTCAAGGCGTGATATCAATGGATGCTTTTGCACGAACCAAAGAAAATATTAATTATGCATTAGCTTTAAATTACTATGGTCGAGTTTTATTCATCGAAGAACTAGCTTCTTCCATTACTTCGAACATCTCCACTTGGTGGTAAAGTTGTATCTGTCCTGAACAGTAAAAAAGGTGATCCATCAAAAATCAACTGGAATAATATGGGACTCGAGACTAAATGTTCTTTTTTAGTAGCTATTAATCATGGTTTCGCATTCAATGATCTTATCATTCAATATCTTGCTTCACAACCAGAAAATAGCAATGTCAGTTTTATACATTCATATCCAGGTTTTGTTAAAACTCCTCTCGGTGATAATTTACCCTTTTATATTCGATTACCTATGAAAGCGATGATAGCAATCACACGTGTGGCTGTCAGTCCGGACGAGTGTGCTGAACTTATGATACATGGTATATTAAAGGCAGAGAAAGGCTATATATACATGGATGAAAAAGGAGAAACTATCAAAAACAAAACAGTAGCAAACGAAGAAATGCTACAAAAAATTTGGGAACACACTCGTGAATCTATTTCGCGCACTGCTTCGTAATAAATAAACTATGTATTTATTGTATTGCCAAATTTTTTTTTGAATATATTAAGAAAATAAATCATAGGTTCTTATATGACTTGCTGATCATTATCGAGTATAGAAAATGTGAATTTAAATTAATAAAGACTTTTTCATCTATTTCTTAGCTTTTTCGACGAACTCTTTGTTGTTTTAAGGTTGGTTTCGGAATAGTGAAGAGTTGTGCATTCATACTCGAGATTGATTTTACTTAGATAATGGCAAAAGTTCTAATTACAACGTTAGGGTGTGGGTGTGAATAAGAATGGGTACATGAGGTGACGTTGGATGGGTGTAATCAAGAAATCATCACCCACCCCCCGCAACTAATGAAAGCTTTATTTAAGAGTAATCGAACAAATATTATTATATTAATCAAATTATATGAATAAAAGTATTTTCTGATCAATTCTTTGAATATTCTAAGGGCAATAAACGATGAAAAGTTATTTTAAATAAGAAAGTCAGCATACAAAAATCGTTTGTTTTGTGAACATTATCAAATATCCAGTTTATATAAGAACTTTATCAAACGCAAAATGAACCTTGTGGAGAGTGTAGGTGTGAATATTCTATCTCAACCACACCCACACCTATCACTGCAATATTTTTTGTATAGTTGCTGTTCAAAGTTTGACAAAAATGATTGTTTTTTGTTAGTCTTTATTTATTTGAATCTTTAAAAATATTTATACATAAATTAGTTTAGATTGTTTTTTGTTATGCTTGCCTTAAACGTTTCATGAGTAAGATTTCCGGAACAACAATTTGTGTCCTTCGACGCCAACAATAAAATAACTTTTTGCATTGGAGTTTTCCCTTCGGTAATGACATGGCACTTATAAAAGGAAACAAACAAATGACATAATAGGAAAAAAACTGAGCTTCCAATTGAAAATCGGCACCGAAATCTTCAGACAGGCAACATTGTTGCATGAGTTCCACAAACATGGGCGGAATATAAAGAAAAAAATAAAGAATCGATATAGATAACAGTTGAATTGTCATTTTTCGATGTTTTTTCCATTGAAGCTGTTGATGCATACGATGTTTTTGTAATAGAACACGTATAAGAAGAGCAATGCTAAACAAAATAATAGCTAGAGTAGGTAATATATTATTTGTTATAGTATCCCATAACGCAACAAATCTCAGCTCATAATAACAAAGAGGACGACCACATAAAGGTAAATTGTATTGGAATATATTTACACATGGCGGGAATAGAATTGTGACTGCATGAAATATAAAACAATAAATAAATATTGCAACTAAAGGAAGGTAGTGAATAAAAAAACGTTTCTTTTTTGTTGGCATCCACTTATCATGAAAATTAGAATATATCGTTCGATCGAAGCCCATGCAACAAGTATTAATGCAAATGTGAAGACTCCTCCATCAAGAAACATCCAAATCAAACATAAGTTCGGCACAGCTGGTACGACAGTGCCCAAATAATAATAGCTGAGATGTAATGGAATACTTGTGAGTGCATAGAGTAAAGTGTTAAATAATAGAACGATGATAACATGATTATTGAGAGTACGACGAAGAACAGGATCAAAGAGTAGATGATAGAGAACGAATATGCAGCAGAGGATTGATAAAAGAAATGTGACGAAAAATAGCCAAAATCGAATGGGGAGAGAAATTGAGAGATCAACAAGTATATATGGATGATGATCTATCATTGTCAATAGTTTTCCTCTTAGCTTGATATCTTCTAAAAATAAAGAATACACATAAATAAATAACTCAACATAGAATTTCTTCCATTTCTTGTTCTCCTACAATTACATGCGAGTAGAAATCTTAAGAGAATATTAGTTATCAATAAAAAATACGCAATTTAATTTACTTTGAGAAAATGAAAAGTTTTGAAAGGAAACACTTTTAGCATTCTAATCTGATGAACTTATCTCATATGTCATTTGAACAGCTTAGCTTAGCTTTTGAGCATAATTTGAATAGTGAACTGATGTAGTCTGAAAGAGAATTGCACTTATAGCAAAATCAGAAGTTTATCGAGAAGATGATTATGTTGTGGATCGTGATAGAGAAGTTTTTAACAACCGAATTACTATGAAATCCATTTCCATCATACAAGGAAAATCAGGGCAAAAAGAGTAGAAGTCTATCTATAAATCTCAAACTTATCTGATGGCAGTTCAACTTTTCCATTTTCGTGAAATGATTATCTATATATGTTGTTGAAGGATTTATTCTCAATTCTTACCTATAACATGAGTTTCGATTGGCACGTTGATTATTGATGACGACTAAATGTGTGCATGTTTTTCATATTAATAGGTTACTCTCATATTAGAAGAGTCGAACAACATGACAAACCATATTTATTTTCAGTAAAAAGAAATCCATGAAATTTTTAAATGTTCATAACCTTAAAACTGACTTTCTATATTGCTATTTTTTTAAAATTTTCTCCTAAAAGCATCATTGAGAGTTGATTAATACCTTGAAAGAATGCATCACAATAATGAATATGTTTTACTCACATCTTGCTGACAGATTATTTTTTCTTAGAGAACACAGCTCATAGACATCACAGGCGTACGAGATTTTGGTAATAAAAGAAAAAGCTTTATACATAGAATGCGACAGGATAGGAATTCTCTTTGCTATTAAAGATAAAAGATAAGTGACAATTGACAATTGACAGTTTTTGATAGTCATGTGTCAAACATTTACTTATAGCAATCTAAAATAGTATTGTTCAGATCTTATTTCCTTTGTAGTAAACAAACAAACATTGTTTATTTTTTACGAATAGATCTTAAGTGAAGATCGATCAAATAGTATGGAAAGATAGAACAAAAGACGCTCTACCTATTCGTAGAAAAAGAATATCTTTTTATTTACTGTAAGAAAATAAGACCTGAACGACAGTATTTTGTGATTACTCTAAGTTTTTATAAAAAAATGTGAGATTAACGGCAGAGCATTATTCAGATGAAAACTCCATATTCTTTTAAATCTTCAAAAAAAAGTATAATTTCCCGCCTCGTCAACATCGTTTCTTCAATATTGATTAATGAATACGATAATGTTGGAATTAGAAAGTCTTTTACAAACAATCAAGTCAATGTCTAATTTGTATCAATGATTTTTAGCGTACTTCTAATTTAGTAAATTTTTTCTTCTTTGAAAACTTCAAATAACACTGTTTTAATCTATCATTCGTATTTCTATCCAAAAAGTATTATAGAAGACATGTTTGAGTTGGTTTACTAGTCGATTCAAAACCAAAACACATCTATACAGTACTCGCTCTCAAAGGGTTGAAACAATTATGAAAAGTACTCAATTAAAAGTTGTTTTATCTTCGTTGAAGGATATCATCTATTAGATATTTTGATTCGTTATTGGTCTCTGATTTACAATTAGGCAAAAGTCATTATCTGTTCTCAAGCCAGTAGTGTATCGAATAAGTTATAACCTGATTCAATTTCATGATTAATTCCGAATTCATTTTTATATAAAACGAATAAATCTTCATTAGAAGGTGAGCATTCTATCTAGGAATGTTACTTTATCTTTACTTAAATACAGAACAAAGAGTGATTTTTGTAAATTACAACAAAATAAATAAAGCATTGTCACAACAATAAGCTTTGTCAATTGAAAAATGTTTCATAGTATAGAACTATTTTTTTTTAGATGTACGATGTCTATGTCATTCATACTCTCTATATTAATTTTTTCGTTTATTTTTCTAATAGAAAGCATATATTAGTCGTACAAAGTCAACCGATTTAGTTTTGTGAGTAACAAATTACTGATGAACGAACAAAACTATTCAAGAACAATGCAATTAACCATTTAGTGTCAGTTCACAGCTTGAATTATTCACACGAAGAAAAACACATAAAATGTATATCTAATTGGATTAGAATAAGTGTGAACAAGTGCCTTCATGATCAATTATCAACACATCGAAATGTTCCGCAGCAAACACTTCGATGTGTGAATTGTCGATTAAGAAAGTTTTAGTAATAAATCTATTGTTCAAAATTCCTCCTTCTCCTATTAATAAATGTGTGCTATTTAAACAAGTGGATCAGTCGAAGAAATATTAAACAAAACATAACAAATCGTTATACTTGTTCAAATAATGTGTTCACAATGGATGATTATATTCATGTTACTTCCATTCTTACAAGTAGCTCTTGCTCGTATAATAGGTGAGTATTTTAAGACGTATGTTTCGACATTTTTTTAGCTTTGATCTTGAGTGATACACAAAATACTCGAAGTGTTTGAATTTGTGTATGAAATAGTGAAACCGATCAAAACAAACTGTCAGCATTACAAAATAACTTCATGTTTGTGCTTGAACTAACTCACGATATGATCATTCTTCAGAGTATTGAGAAAGTTAATCAATCATAATCTCCAATAAAATTTATAAGGATATTTCAACTGTAAGAGAAAAGAATATAAATTATGAAGAATATAAGATATGACATGCACTAAAAGAGGAATAGTTTGAATGTTTTTTTTTTAATTTTAGGTCTTGATGAACATGTTGCAGGTGAAGATCTCAAAGAAGATCAGTTTGGGATCGCCAGCTCCTATTTTTATAAGCTGACGAATAAATACTCGGGTTCGAATCGTACATTAGAGACTATCATCACCGGGGACAATCCAGAAGACATCAAAATGAGTCTATTTCATAACTATGACATTGGATATTGGCGCTTTATTCGTTTAAGTAACAATAAATACAGAATACAAAATTATGTTTATGGTGGTAGCATGTCACTTGACATCGTTAAGTATAAAATGAAGTACAAACTACACATGAATGAAACGGCTGATGTCTTAGGACAATATTGGCATCTAACACGTTTAACTGATAGATCATTTAGATTCACAAACGATTTTTCAGGTCCTAAAATGGCTTTAGACGTTCAAGCTGATACGCACAAACCCATAATGTCAAAAATAGCTGCGAATCATCTTGGACAACACTGGATCTTTATGAAAGCTGGAAAGTACAGCAGTAATTGATCGTTCTGCTGAAATTTTCAGCTTTACTCAGATTCATTGAACTCTCTAAATATTATTTTATAATCAAGCGTTAATTGTTTTATGTATTACTTAAAAATAGCATATACTTAATATCTATGTTCTTCTTCAATCTATTTGTTTGTTTATTAATCTTAAATATAAAAACTTAGATCTTAATTCAACAACAACAATAGTTTTAAGTGCGTCGTAGTAGTTGGTAGAATTTTGAAAATATGTTCATATGTAGGAGACGATCCACGAGCAACCAAGAATTTTTGATATATGACAGAACATGTGTGCCAACACTATCTAGATCTGACCTGATACTAACTTAGGCATTATTGACCTATATATGAATCCAAAATATTAACGGTCTATAAAGTTATTTTAAGAGAGGTAGGGTATGTCCAATCATACCACCCCCAAAAATGACCTCAAAAAATGAACCAAATCGAGTTCTTTTGTTTTCTGAATTGTTTTTCATGTGAATTCGACTCTAATCAAATAGAGTCATATACTAGTCGATAGAGTTTTACTTGCTCAACAAAACTACCTATATGGCATTTTCCGTTTATCTCAAAATATAAGGGAAAAAATTCAAATATATTGTTTTTGTCGCTTTCAGAAAGTCCATCAGTGAGCAGTATTTTGCCCGAAAGATCTAGTGAGAAACTGATTGAGAATGTGGTTGTAGTACTGGATGGGAGTGATCAAGATAGTAGTTAGAGCCACACCCACACCCGTCGCTGCCAAATTGATAATGAAAAGTCCAACATATTCACGAAGTTGATTTTTAGACATGTCAAATGAATTAACTGCTGTAGTTCTTGAACCTGTGCTCCGCATAACCAGTCCGCTGAAATTGAATGTACTGTCTTGCGGAAAGGATAAAATGATAGATTGAAGCATTCTTGTCGAATTCTGACATGAGTAATTCGTGATACATAGGCACTAATATCATCTAAGACATCATCCGAACCATTAGTTACAAAATAAATATCCTTTAGACTATTTATGAGAGCATTCCAACGATGATTAAGACCAAAAAAACGTCGATGAATTTGACGAATATCCAGATATGAAAGTAAATCGTAGAGAAGTTCATTTGGCAGATCTTCAAGACAGCTAATCGTAGATGTACGAACGTACTGATTATGCATTGTCAGCAGTTATATAAAAAAATAAATCATCATATATAATATAACGTCCTTGCGCAACCATTGATTATGACTCATCAGCTGATGCAAGAACATTAAACAACAATTTCATCAGAAATTTGTGCTGTTCTTAGTAAATATATGTATTGAAATAATGATTTCATCTGTACAAGATTTAGTTCTGAGGGTGTAAGTGTTGTACTTCTCTTATATCCATACTCATATCTTCATCCACACCCTCAAGATGGTATTAGATTTAATTCAAATTGATGCTCATAATCACACACGTCAATAATGATCTTTATTGAACTAATTCGTATCTTCAGAATTCCCTATCTAACAAAAGACATGGTTTTATATAAGGGAGAGATGCTATCACTATCGTCGTCACACCTCTTATCTAGTGAGAAATTATGGCTACGTCATTAGGAGCCACTGATAAAATTTATATGATTGAAAAAAAAAATTTTTTTGTGTAGTTTATTATGATGCTAGATAAGACGAATAACAATGATAGATTAGAAGAACAAAAAATGAAATGTTTATAAACGATGTTCAATATGCTGTTGTACGTTGTTGGGGGACTTTTGTGACAGTCATCATGGAGATATTTGCTTGCAATATTTGCCGTCGCTGACAAACACGCCGAGGCAATAGTTTGATTAACGCTTTAATAAATGTTTGCCTAAAGAAACGTGAGGATAATAGAGAAAGATAAAATGATTTAACATTGTTTAGATAGTAAAATTTATTTGTAAGGCTATAGGCAAAACTAATAATAGCCGTTTGTTCAGCAGTTCTCACACCATTGATAGGGATAATATAATACGTATACGTTATTATCCATTGTAATGAAATGAAAGCTGTTGCTAAAACTTGTAAGAAGATCATAGTGATGAACTGATTTCGAGAATGATGTGATCGTAATGTTGCAGTTCCACCCTAAAATAAATGATCATTATCTATTTAAAGAGAGAATAAATGAACTCACTACTCGTTGACGACTCCGACGAACATTTCGAAAAGTAAGAAGGACAAAGATCAGCATTGCCATCGGTTGCGAGATACCATTGATCACAATATAAATAATACCATTGAGTACTGGTTGGGTTACTACACATCCTGATGGAATTTGATACTCATAAAGAATGCATGCACGCACTGAAGCAAGAATACTGAAGATGATAGTAATACCAATCAATCGTGGAACCATTTTAAGTTTGTTGAGATAACGTATAGATGATGTAAGCTTACAAGTACTAGCATATCGATCAATAACCGACATTAACAAAAAATTAATTGATAAATGAGGAAGAAATCCAATTAAAAATATATATAATTTGCACATGCTAGGTAATTTTATCCATGGAATATATATTCCATAGACTCCACTCAAATAAATTGCAAATGAATTATAAAAAAGATTAATAACATCAACAAGTGAACCACAAAGTGAATATATACAGCATGTATTCCAACGAAGTTCACGTTGAAGATATGTTAAACTATTACCAATAAAACCGATCAGACCAAATATGGCGAATACTAATGGTAAATGATTCACAAATCGTGTTGACAGAAGATTGAGAACAACTATCGTGTTCGATACTTGAGATGAGATGACGGTAGTTGTTGTGTAGTTATATGACATTATAATGAATCAGTAAAGAAACAAATGACTGTCTTATTTATAATATATATAAACTGTTATTTTTACCCTCTAGAGTTTAAAAACGGTTGAATAAGTCTAAGAAAAAAAGTAAAATAGAACACAAGAAGATAAATAGAATATCTCAACGTTGTTAAAATCTTTGAATAAACAAAATTAATAAATTTTGACAATTAGCTTTCATAAAAAAAAGCCGATTGTTACTACATAGACCATAAATAAAAAGTGGATCAATGTTGATATCACCTCCTGCTGTTCTCTCCTATGTTTCCATTCTCTCTCATTCAAAATTATGTTATTTTTCAGATAGGAAATTCTGTAGATATGAATTAATTCAATAAACATCATTATCAAAGATAAATTATTACCCTAGTTTGTCCTTAGAAGTAGGTAAATTTTACTCAAAAATTGCCCGATTTAAAAAAGAAAAAACATACAAATACATTCTGTATTACTTGGCTAAAGTTTTATTTTGGTCGAAATAAAAGATACTTTGACACATTTACAGACCGATTACGCGTTTGTATATGAAATAAGGGATGAACCAATAAACTGTGTATAATGAAGCAATGATAAATCAGATTTAGACGGTCAATTCGCTATAACAAGCTTTGTCATGTGTATGAAACAAATAAAACAATAAACATGAATAATCCGCGATGAGTTAATCGATTTTTTGTGAGAGAATAACACACATTTCTACTTTCATTTGAGGAGTCAAGTAAGCAACGAGTAAAGAGTTTTTTCATAAAAAAATAATTAGATATAAATAAACAGACGAGACTATTTTTTTGAGTTCTTTTCTTTAAAATTGAATAGATGTTAAATAGTTCAAATTAATAAAATGTTCTTTTCCTTTATTGCATGATTGTTAGCTCGTTAGACAAACTTTGATGTTTATTTATAAAAAAAAGAAAAGGAATGTCCTCTATATACTATGTAGAACAAAGATAAAAAAGATACTTTTTTAGTTGGTTAATCGTAAAAGATATTACTATAAAATAAAATCAAAATTGATCACTCAGAAGATAATTATAAACTGTGCGATTTTTTATATGAGAGTGTAACTGTATAGTAGAGAGAAGAGAAATAGTTCTTTTGCATTTATATACATGTAGGTTTACTCAGCATAGTTTAACCAGTCGAATAATATATGATAAAACTATACTTATTGACCATATAGAGACGAATTTCTTCAAAAAAAGTCTCGATCTACATTTCGCGGTGTAATATAAAACTATAAAATGAGTGAAAAAAGTTATTTTTAATTTTTCTAACTGTTAAAGTACGAACTTGCTCGAACATTTCTATCGTTTCTGAAACTATAAATTTGATGCTCTACCTTCTGGTCGGTTTTCTTATCTCAAACACTTTCTGTCTAGGTCTACAAAATGCATTCTAACTTAGACCTACACTTTGTTTATAAAAATGTTTTTTCTAGGGTGACTAATCGAAAAAAGGTTCTTTTGAACTTGAGAGTGTGGTTCTGAGGTTGGTGTGAGCGTGATTGTAATATTCTAAGAATAATCACACTCACACCCGTGTTTTATGCTTTGTCGACACATAATTTTCGTTATTTGAAATACTTTTTTTGGTGGACTTTAACCATTATTTTCTGAGAGAATGCTGATACAGAAGACGGACATTGCTTTATTTTTTTAATTTTTGTCTATGTAATAGTAAGATATAAACATTTACAGAAGAAACGGGGATATATTAATTTTCTTCGGACTTTGATAAATTGATTGTTTTTCTTGATATCAATTCTTCATCAAACCAGTTACTCTGAAGATAACTCCAAAAATTGCAAGAATACTTGTCATAAGAGTACAAATCATCAAATAGTACCCAAAATCTTGACCACTGGCTAGCCGGAGCAAAGCGAGTGCTGGACAAAAGTTTCCTGTGCGCTCAATAAATCCAAAAATTGACTCGCCAGCGATTGGACGTATAAGAGCCGTCGCTAAACCCCAAACAAATGCCCAACAATAAACGAGAGGACATGCATCCATAAAGAGACATACAAAAGCAATTATAATATCTAATAGACCAATAACTGGCATTAGAATACTAAAATATGATATAGAATGAATATAATGAAATCCTATGAGAATTTACCGAGCCCATTTCGTGCCTATACCAACCACGCCAAGATAAGGCAACCATCCTGGTACAAACCTTAAAGCTAAACATCCATGACCAAAAAATGTACCAAAAACAGAAATACGAAGAATAAGTAACAGAACATAGTGAGACGACATTTTAACAAAGAGAAATACTAAAGTAAAAGACGTTACAAGATCAATCACTATAGTTGCTTGTCAACGATAAATAAAAAGACGAGTAGATTTGTATTTTAATAGAGGTCGCCTACATACGAAAATAATATAGTATAATAGAAATATAACGGTGTGGATGTAATGTTTTAAGAAGAATAATCTCACCCACACCCACCCTCAACTATGACAAAGGTATGATTAAATAATGAAGAGCATGCTCTCAAAAAACGCTTTGATATTTTAACAGCCACGTCACTCCTGTGTCACCATTTCTTTTGTGTTCTGTTTTTTTCTTCTTTCTTTTATTGACATATTGCTATTTTTTTATGCAATGTTGTAATTTCGTAAGAAAGCATGGTCATATATTCACAAACTTTTAGTAGTTTTCATACACCTACATTGTTACTAATCAACAATATTCATGACGAATCTCGAAAAACAAACAGATGAAATATTAGCATTACGATCAATATTTGATACTAAATTTCGTTTGCTCGATGACAATAATCAATATGAAATCTTAATTGATTTTGATCTAATTGAACCATTTATTATTCAATATAATGATGAAAGAACTATCATTAATCATTTACCAGCATTTACTCTTATTATTCATTATCATGATAAATATCCAAGTGATTATCCTCCTTCATTTATGCTTTCATGTTTTTATTTTTCAAAATCATCTTTACAAAATCTTTGTCAAAAACTTGATAATTATTCATTTATAAAAGATGAAGTTTGTGTTTATGATTGGATCGAGTTGATAAAGCATGAAATTACTAATGAACTTATACTTCAAACTAAAGACGATGAACAAATGAATGACCCACGAGCATTAAATGGATATTCAAATGAGACTATTGATCAAACTTATCAATCCTTAATAAATTATAATAATGAACAACATGAAAAACAATTTCAAAATCAACTTCAAACATGTTTAATATGTACAGATATCATTCCAGGAATGGATTTTATTCGTCTTCATCGTTGTAGACATTTTTATTGTCGGCCATGTTTAAATAATTATGTTAGAATAACATTAAACAATGGAAAATTTGGTGAAAAACTTCATTGTCCACAAACTCAATGTCAAAAAGCATTACTTCCAAATGAAATTAAACAAATTATTCAAGATGCTCAATTATATCAAAGATATGAAAGATTAACATTACAACATGCTCTAGAATCAATGAACAATGTTATCTGGTGCCCAAGGTCAGTGACAAACAGAAAAGAGAGATAATTGTAACTCTAGTTGAACACTTCAGAGCAAGATAAAACCAAAGAAATCTTAGAGGTCTTGATTCCTGTTTGTGTGTGAAATGAATTTCACTTCAAATTCACATTCAGTATTGCATTTTACATTAGAGAAGTACTTAGGCTGATGCAAATAAGGTTTCGAATAATTACTTTATATGATCGATATTTTATACAAGATCTACTATCTGCGCCCAAATATAAGGTAGATGACTATTTTCAGCAATAGATAGATACCCTTACGTATCCTTGATAGTTCCCGATCGAAGCAAAAAATGTCTTTTCCTTCCTGAACCAGTTGTAAGCGATTTTCTGGAAGCACTGGGATTTCCCTCCCGATTCAGACTATGTTTATTTCATCTTTTAGGGCGATACTTTCTTAATTCATGGGATATAAACGCACTTATGAGAGGATTCAACAGACAGGCTATCCAACACTGTGCCAAAAAGACATAAGATATTCAAATCTTAAATTTGAGTTTCGATATGTCTGTTTGCATATCATGAATTAAGAGAGCATCATCCCAAAACTTGAAATTAACATTGCAGTGAGATGCAACATAGTCGATAGGCTCTGCTCCCAAATATTTTGATGCTGATGAGTATCTTTTATCGTTTTTTGAGTAATTCAAAAACCTAATGTTTAAAATCTGTCGTATTTCTGTAAGTTGAACCTTTACTAAGATAACATATTTTGCTTAAAAGATGTTACACTGAAGAAGAACTATTGGATTTAGATGTCAATCTGCGATTCTTATCGGTAGTGGTGATGATAATTTAGCTATATGTGATCAATGTCATTATACATTTTGTAAAAAATGTAAAGAAAAATATCACTTTCAAGCAATGTGTCCAGAAGATCATCTCGCTGAACAATTAAGATTACAGCAGAGAAAAATACGTGAAAGAATTGCAAAACAACAGATTGAGGAACGTGAAAGAACTCAAAATGGAAAAGATCAGAAGAAAATTGCCAAAAAACGAGAAAAAGCTCATGCAGAATCAATTAGAATCGATAAAGAAAAAAAAGATTTAGTTGAAAAAAATCTTGCTAAACAACAATATCGTGAAATTGCCATTGACTTATCTGAAGAAGATGCTTTATTAGAAGAAATCTTAAATGCTGAACGAATGGAAGTACTCAATACTCAACCATGTCCAAGTTGTCATGTAAAAATTGAAAAAAATGGTGGTTGTTTACATATGCATTGTTCAAGATGTGGTTATTCGTTTATTTGGGCTGCACTAGAACGATCTCAACCTCTTCAAATGACTTCATTGTTATATCATTCTTCTGATGCTATGCCAGTCCAATCTATCAAAACAGAATTGTATAAAAAATCAGATACAGGTTTGCAGAAGAGATTATTTCAATATTAAACTGGATCTGATTTTCTTTTTAGAAAAAGTACCTGAACAATCGAAAGAAGATGAAAAGGAGCTAGATTCGACAGTTTTAATTAATAATCGATCATTGACTGGTTCTGCTATCGTCAAACGAGTAAAACAATGTCCGAATAATTCATGCATCAAACTCAATGTTAAAATGGGTGAAGATAATTGGATAGTATGTAGCGAATGTTTAGAACAATATTGTTTTTCCTGTCTAAAACCCATTGATGGAGCTCAACATTTTCAAAAAAAATGCGACCGTTACACATCAATTTAAATAAAATATTCGCTCTTTTACAAAAATAAATCTCGGGAAAAAACTGACTCCATGATTCCGAAGAGTGGGGTATGAGTGTTTGATTGTTTCGTATATTCATATGCAAATGCATGAGAAATATTCTCTAATGTTGTTCTGTTCATGTACAAATATGATCAGGATTTAAATATCGTCACCATTGTGATTATGATTCACTCGATTATTTTTAATCCGATATAGATTTCTTTGCATACGATAGAAAAATATTTATTTTTAATATTAACAACAAGATTTATATAAGAATAGAAAAAAAACGAAGGACTCATAAAGAAATAATATGACCGATATACGACATACAACACCATTTGTTCTATATCATACAAAGATTAGATAAAAATACTTTTTTAATAAATAGTAAGTATGTCATATTTCTCTTGACAACGGCTCTACATTAAATTATAACGTCATCCTATGTTACTATGTACTATCAAACATTATAAACTAAATATTAATTTTAAAGTTACTCATTGCTTTTTGTTCGCGATGATAATAATAATAAAATACGAAAGGTAATCTTGAAAAAGTAAATGACTCACATTTCTTCTCGCTATCTCGCCATATCACATTCTATATAACTGATCTTTCATTCTTATTGATATTCTTAGAGGTGTAACCAGAAAAAAGCTTTTAATAGAATTAAATTCTATTTTGTTATCTACTACTACTTTTCTAGATCATTTATTGTCATATGAGAATGATAAATATGAAGTTTTATTCTTCTATTACATTATTAACTATGCTATTGACTAGTTCAATGGCATTCACCATTACAGTAAGAACTTTTACATAATTTAATTTTTAATGGAATTTTATTTTTTAAATATAGGAACGAGAAAAAATGGATATCGATATAAATAAAATATTTGATAAGGGTCCTTTTTCTATTGGAGAAGTTTCGTATGAATATCCAATTGTAAATGATACTGAAATAACACCATTCTCCACTAATCTTACAACACAAATTCGTGGACAATTATATTTTCCAAATAATACTCAAGGCTCATTACCTATTCTTGTTTTTCTTCCTGGAAAACATGCAGATTGTCGTTTACTTGCATTACCTGGATATCCTGGTCTTGATACAGGAGCAACGGATATTTTCGGTCATTGTCAAGATAATTTACCCAGAGTTGCTAGTCATCTTGGCTATGCTTATCTTAGTGAATATTTTGCATCACATGGTTATATAGTTATTTCAATTGATGTTGCTTTAATAAATAATAGATGGCCAATTCCTGGTGATCTTACATTGAATTTCGTTCGTGCACGAATTGTTCTTCGAACTTTACAAAAAATGATCGAATTAAATAATAATGCTGAAATGTCTAAACAAATTTTAAATGGAATTGATTTATCAGGTAAATTTGATTTCACTCAAATTGGATTGATGGGACATTCACGTGGTGGTGAAGGAGTTCGAAATGCTTATAATATGTTAATGGAAAATAAAGGACCATGTGATACTCCCAAATGGCGAGAACGATTATCAGGTGTGATGATTAAAGCAATTATGGAAATTGTACCAATGTATTATGGAGAGAATGGAACTAGATTTGGCGTTGAAAATGTTCCATGGGCAATGATGGTATCAGGATGTGAAGATGATGAAATCGATTATGGTATTTCGTAGTATCATATTATTCATAGTGAATCAATTATTTTCTTTTTTTTCTTATAGCTCATGTCTATTTAGCTTATCGACAACTACAGACCGCTAAACGTCCAAATCATGTTATTCATGTTTACGGTTTGTAGATCTTTAATTATCATTAGTAAATGGTATAAATTGTTTTTGAATTATAATAGGTGCAAATCATGAATATTTTAATACTGAATGGCAAGTTGGAATACCAGCATGTTTTGGTGATCAAGATCCATTATGGGATGTCAATGCTCCTACCTTCAAAGTGAGTGATATATTTCCACCAGTTGCAGGTACACCTCTTGATTATACTTTATTGAAAATTAATGGATCAGAATCACAACGTAAAACAGCAATATTTGCATTAGCAGCATTTTTTCGTGCATATGTTGGTGTTAATGCTAATCCTGACTTTGCAAAATTGCTTAATCCTTCTACTCCGTATGTTTTATTATCTTAAACATAACTTGTTTTTTTCAAAAGAAAAGAAACCATTCATTTGTAGACTTCCTGATAATATGACTGAACTTGGTCGTCAATATTTTGATAATACACAATCAATTCAATTATTTAATGGAACCGGAAATATTACAGGTAGTTCCGGCGTTGAAATCATGCCATTACGAATGTATGCAGAGTCGATGTTTCCTTTGTTTGCTACTAGTTATGATAATTCTCTAATTTCACCACCACAATTTTTTTCGGATCCACCCAAAAAAGGTAATTTATCATTAGGTTGTTTAGAACAAATTGAAAATGGAGTTCATATTAATTTTGATAAAAATAAGCAATCAGAAGTTATTATTTCATTTAATAAAATGGAAATAAAAAAAATATCAGCAATCGATATTCAATTAGCTCGAAGAAGTTCTTGTTGGTTTACCTCAACTCATTCGTCGACTTGTGAAGAACCACGAGAAATGAAACTTAATATTCAACTTCAAACAAACACAGGTTTTAGTTCAAATACGACTGTATTTTTAAAGAGCCGATACAATCTACAATTTACTCGTTGTGAAGCTATGAGTTTTCCACCTGAAAAAATTGGATTTTTACCTGTTATGTTTGAAACTGTAAGAATTCCGGTTACGAATGGTCTTTATGTCAACGGATTAAAATTAAGTAGTCAAAATGGTGGTAGTTTAGTATTGGATAATATTGCAGCTATTATTCAACAATCTTCCAACGCTTCTTTCTTATCAATATCAATATATTTACTTTTTAGTTTATTTTTTATATCAGTTATTTTTCATGCTTATTAATTTCTTCGAATATAATCACAAAATTATTTTAAAAGAGGGTGTAGGTGGGTTTTTATATTATACTCACATCCACACCCTTACTATGTACTGCTATATAATCAATTAAGTATCCAAAAAAACTAATTTTATTCTAAAAATCAACAAACGAAACAATGTAAAATATTGAATGTTTTTGTTTTTTCGAAAAAGAATTAAGACAAATTAGTTTGTTATTTAAGTTTCGGAGCACCAGCAACAATTCCACTTTCAATTCCACATTCATCTCTACCGCGAATAATTTTAAAAAAGCCATTATCACCCCAATCTTCATTCCATGCTGAAAAAAAAACAAAACAAATTATTATAGACACATTTCATTTTATTAATACTCACAATTAGCAACGATCCAATATGGTGTTGAATTTGTTACACCCCAGCCAAGAATCTTAACAGCTTAAAAGACAAAAAATTTTAATAAACTAAAGAGTAATTATATTACTATGGCCAGCAAAATAAGGACCAACTAGATGTTGATAAACACCGGATTTGTAAGCAAGAAAATCTGCATAAACACCAAACATAGCGTGAACAGGACCATTTTTCATAATCTCTGTTTTAATTTGTTCTTGTTTCTCTCCAATTGAATAAACACTTTCACCATAATATTTATCTTGTTCATATGGTATTGGATAACCATCGATACATTTCGGACTACACGGAGGAGCCGGTCCTTCACCATCACACTAGATTTAATTAAAAAAAGAACAATGCAAGACATATATTTTTTTAACAAATTTATTATTTACTGATGGACGACTACCATTTATACTAAAAAAAATAAAATTCTATGTATCTTAATAAAGCAAAATTTGTTAAACATACTGATGTTCACACGAAGGAAGGGTGTATGGTAAACAACCTTGTTTTGTATTGTAATTTCCACCAGTGACTAATCCTTGACGTTTATAATACTGCCATGCACCTACTGGAGAACCTCCCTCACAATCACCAACTGATGTACATGCTAAAGTATACAAGATAAAATCTATATGAAATCAAATCAGATCAAATCAACATACTAAGAAGATCTTCAGCTGATATATGTGCATTTTGTGTTCCATTTGATGCAATGCAACGTCGATCAGTCATCGCTTCAACCGCAGCCAAAGCCCAACAACTTCCACAACTACAAAAAACAAAATATCACATCTATGTATGAATGTAATTCTTTAATACAAACCTTCCTTGATCTCGTATCTCTTTTAGTGATGGGCAATTTGACCATATTTCACGTCCATCAAAATTTTCCGGTAAATCATTAGGTATTTCATGAATCAATGGCTTAAGTTGTTTTATTTCCATCAAATGCTCTGGACGAACACCCATTAATCTTTTAATTGAAGCTGTTGACCATGTCATAAATTTTGATGGTGCTGCTTTCCATGTTGACTGAGCCGAATTTATTTGAGAAATTAAATTCTCTGATAATACACTTTCTTCAGATTCTCTAATATCACGACTATGAACAGGGAACAAAGCAAAACAAATTACTAAACAAATTTGAAGATGCATCTTTATCGTATTCCAAATAAATATCAAATGAAACAATTTTTTTCTTTTCTGAATCTATGATAAGTAAACTTATCTACTTTCAACAAACAAATTATTGTTTGTCTATTATTGTTGTTCAAGGATATACTTTTATTAAATAACTACATTTCTTATCATAAACAAAATTTATCTAGAATATTGTCCTTTTTACATTACGCAAAAGAATCATAACATTTACTTCTTTTCCAAGGTCGAACAGAACGACTCGTATACGACAGTAAATAGATAAAATACCACACCATTGCTACTTGTTAATAGAATCCCGTCTATTCTTAGTGTAGTCTTTAGAAAATTCTTAAGTTCATATTATATAAAAGGTATTTTTCTGATGTAGAGAATAACCGAATGCAGCAAGACGAATGATCGTATTTCAATATTCGAACATAAATTTTTTCATCAATCTCAAAATCATGATAAAATTGATGTTGTATTATTTCAGCAATCAACATATTTGAAGTTATCATCAGGAATATCATAGTATGATCAAAAACACAAGCATTAGATTAATGCTGAAAAACTTGCATAACCTTTTAAACCTCCTCAGATAAATTTCATGTGATTGTACATACGTACGAATTATTAGCTTACTGTTTGATTTGATCTATAACATATTGTATTTGTTATGAATATATGACTTTAACCATCTATATATAATGATGTTACTATAGAATTCGAAGTAAATCTAACATTTTCAATTAATACTAAATTTTTTGTGTTGTATCTATTAATCTTGGAAATACTTGATGATCATAGAAACGCAGTAAGTGTTTCTAACTATTATATTGAAACAAATGTGAATATTCTAATGCTTAACGTAGTATGTCAACCAAATACTCAATGATTAATAAAACATATTTAATCATCAGACAGCGAAATGAAATTTTACCATCATGTATATAATCATATAAGAGTGTGGGTATAACATTCATTCTTCATGCACATCCATACTCACACTCTTAAATCAAGAAAAAAACATGAATGATAAAAGTAAATATCCAAATAACGACAGTTGGAAAGAATATTGCAAAAATACAAGAAAAAGGGAAAGAAAGAAAAAGATGAATGTATGTAATTTATGACGATATTGTCTGTCGGTTAGTCATCATGGGAAATTTTATCTGCGTCATGTCTAACTGTCAGCGATAATATACTCTCTATGAAAAATACCCTTAAAATACCAAGCGAAGAAAGAACGATAAAATATTTTCATCATGCAATATTTATAACGGATGATTTAATCTCAGAAGAGGCAGTAATATATTTCATATGATACAAAAAAAATCGACTGTAATACAACCATCTACTTTTAATTGCTGTATTTTAGTGAGTATAGATATTTTAAAATGATTTTATCAAAAAAAAAACAATATATTCTGAAGTAATACGTAACCTTTGTAGCTAGAATAGGATGAGGGTAGGTTTGTATCTTCTTCCGACTCACACCTATCCTCAAGACTTACTCAGGCTTTACTAAAAATAATCCTAAAGTATTTTTTGGGTAAGAAAACTCTTTGATCTAGCTATTTCTCTTATTTATTGAAGATTTTAAAACGTTATTTATTTCAAAAAAATTCTTTTGACAATGAGCGATCATGTTCCTCGAAAAACAGGTGGTAGTGACAAGCCACATCAACATTTTATACAATGCAAAAGCAAAGCAGATGCTGAAGAACGAGCTCGAAGTAGCAGTCGTGGACGAACGCCTATTCATCATACTGCTCATGAAGCAGGGCAGAAGAATCATTATCATCCAGCCGGCAAAGATGGTGAAAAGTACCCAGACGGAAGTCATTATGAATATGGAAAGCCGAAGCAAGTAAACGACAAGGAAAAGAAACAACAAAAGAAATGAGGAAATCATAAATTCTAAAAACTATGAACTATGTTCTTTTTTTTCCTTTTATGTATTCAAGATTCTCGATTTAACAGAAATCATTTACTACAACATTTTTTTTTCTAGCAAACTATCTTTTTTCTTTTCGTGAATAAAGAGGGACATTTTGAGAAAATGAGATCATTCCTAGACACGTAACATAATTAAATGAGAAAATTTGTGCATTTACATGTATAGCTTATGTTTGTCCTTTTTACAGTTTACGATAGGGTATAGAATTAAACTAAGTATACGCAAGCAGTTGTTCAAACGAGATGAACATTTATATATAGTACGTCTAGTAGTTATTAGTACTCGCCGAATTTACCTTATTAAATCATCAGGGAACTTGAAAGTTAGTGCATTTCATCCGACAAACTTTGTTTTTTAAAATACGGTGTTATAAAGAAAAGCTCGTGGTATTAATTTGGCATGGCGACAATAAAACTGTTGATCATACTAATCCGGCTTCATTTCAGCGAGAGACCTATGTGTTGCAGCTCCTGGAAGCCATATGAGTGGAAGGTAGATAATCTATGAACTTATACACACTCACTCATCCTCATTCTTCCCGTAAAATATTCAAATTAGAAAAGAGGTTCAATAAGATGAAAAATAAGATTAGTCAAATCAGTATTTATGTAATGTATATTTCAACATTTATCAATAACAATATACCATCACAGTTGAACTGATAATTTGATTCTACAAACAACATCAAGTGTAAATATAAACATTGAAAAAAAAGAATTTTTGTTGAGTATGTGTAGTTACTTAAGTGACATTTGCTGCAATTTATGCAGATGCATGAGTAATCATGAATCATGAATTTGTTTCTTTCTTTCTTATTACTATGAGTAACACATTTTGCCACGTCTCAATGTTTGTCTTGTTGTCAATAAACTAATATAATCACTTCATTTTATTGACAACGAACAAAGTTAACGGTTCATTATAAATTTATCAAAAACTATGGGCCACGTATCAGCATTATGTGGAGCATCCTTGTCTATTGTTCCTATATTTAGTATTCTGATTGGAGTACCAACTAAATCATTATATTTGGGTATTACAAAATATAATGAATGTCCATTGGAGCCTCTTCTTCCTCAGAGTCTTCTTGTTTTTGGACTTATAGGCTCAATATGTAGCATCGTTGCTCTTATTCTTGTAAGTAGTTTATTTTTTCAATCTTCAAAAGCAATTAACCGATTAACTGTAGATAGTGACATTCTGTTTAAAAGTGGATGATTCAGGTACACACTTGTCATATTTATTGTTTTGTATGATAATAGCCATTGTTTACGGTATTAGTGCTACTATATTAGCATGTATTGTAAGTAAAATATAATGAAATTTTATTTCTATGCACGTACTAATTTAGATTGCTTTCACGCGTGGAACAAAAAACATAGCAGAGTCGAAGTCATTCTGTCATGAATCGATTTACAATTTTTGTGATGTTTTTGCAACAATTGTAATTCCATTAGCATTCACATTTGCAATTTGGTTTGCTCGATCATTAGTAACAAGGTTCCTACGAAGAAAATGATTAACATTAAAAAGCAGTTTTTGCTACTGTTGCTATATCTTTTTTTTCTCAAAATACAGTCGAATATTTTTTTATCTTAACAACGCATAATATGCATCTCTGAATTAAGATCTGATTTTTTATTTGTATGATTAAAAAAGTATAAACTAGAGAATATATTAATAAACAAACAAATAGACTGAAGAAGAACATAGGTTATATGCTATTTTTAAGTAACACACAAAACAATTAACGATTGATTATGAAATAACATTTCGAAAGTTTAATGAGCAAGAGTAAAGCTGAAAATTTTAGCAGAACTACTACTCATTAGTGATCTTTTGAACTTTCGTTAGCATCCAGTGTTGTCCAAGATGATTGACATCGATTTTTGACATTATAGGTTTGTGCGTGTTACCTTGAGCTTGAACGTCTAAAGCCATGTTAGGACCTGAAAAATCATTCGTTAATCTAAATGATCCATCAGATAAATCTGTTAAATGCCAGTATAGTTCTGAGACATTAGCCGGTCCTCTCAAGTATAGTTTATTCTTCATTGTATCCTCAATGATACCAAGTGCACCTATAGAATTGAAATTAGTATAGTGGCTTCTGAATCTGAAAGTATTATGTTGTATTCTATATTTGTTGTCACTCGAACGAACTAAGTACCAATTTTCATTGTCGAAGTGACGAATTTGACCCATTTCGATGCCGGATCGGCTGCCAACACTGAAAAGGACCACTAATGTAAGATTCAAACCCGAATATTTACTCGTCAGCCTATAAAGATAAGATTGGTCGATTCCAAATCGATCTATTTGATTATCAGCACCTTCAGCATGATCTAAAATAAACAAAAACTTTCAAACTTTTCCTCTTTTAGTGCATGTCATATCTCATATTTCTCATAATTTATATTCTTTTCTCTTGAAATTGAAATACACTGAAATAGAAAACTGCATTGAACTATATCCCTATTTCATACACAAATTCAAACATTTCTAGTATTTTGTGTATTACTCAACATCAAAGCTAAAAAATTTACGTCTTGAATGAACTACTCACCCACAACCCTAGTAAGATCCGCTTGTAAGAATGGAAGTAACATGAATAACAATCAACCATTGTGAACACATTATGTGAACAAGTGTAACGATTTGTTTGATATTTTTTCGACTGATTCATTTGTTCAGATAGGCTATACTTATTTATGGGAGAAGCAAAAATTTTGAACGATCGATTTGTTATGAGAAATTTCTTAATCGACAAGTCAAACATTTGAATATAATATCTACTGCGGAACATTTCGATGTGTTGATAATTGATCATAAAGGAAACTATTCATATCTTTTCTAGTTCAATTAGATATGCTTTTTGTGTTTTTCTTCGTGTGAATAACACAAGCTGTGAACTGACACTAAATAGTTAATTTCATTGTTCTTGAACATTTATCAAACATGCACTATAACGTTGAGAAAATATCCTTTTGAACAAAACAAAACGAAAAAATTAATATCGAGAGTGTGAATGACATAGAACGCATACATCTATCCTCAGGATGAGCTTATATGCAATTCATGCATTTTTCAAGAAATTAATTTTCGCAGTCATATTTAAAATTATTCTTACAGAAAACAACGATTTTTAAATTCTTTTCGAATTGATAAAATATCTAAACAAAATGAAAATTATTTCTAGATAAACGAACAAATTCTCAGATTTGATTTATTAAGAATTAAGTATTTATGACAAACATCGACAAATACATATGTAATAAAGATAAAGCGACAGAATATGAAAAAAATTATGTTACATTTCACGTGATACTCAATTATTATTGAATTCAGTTATTAGTAACATAGGAGTGTTTATGTGTTTAGTTGGATCGTCGTGACATAGTGATAACGAGATCTAAACTACAAGCCAATGTGCAGGCAAGACCAATAGCGAAGCATAGGCTTCTCCATGGCTGCCAACCCATGATGTATGCTATTGCAAAACAGATCCGAGCAAATAAATAAATGGCACCATAGACTATTGTTCGAATAACATTTCCATTGCTGGGATCAGAGAAAACAACTGTTGCTAAGAGTAAAATTAAGAAGTAAGTGTCATTTTCAGTATCATTAGTAATTGTTTTATTGACACGCATATCCTTAGTAAATTCTGGTTGAACTGGTATTTCTGCGGGATTTCCTCTGGATCCGTAATCTTCAGGAACTCGACCAGGCGGTCGAGGTTTACCACGTGCTGCGACACCAGCAACAACCAACATGACTACACGTCGAAGAACCATTAACAACATGAACCATGCAAAGACTGTACCAGATTGTATAGTAGTTACGTCAACCATAATTTATAATTAACAGTAGGTTTATCAAATTTATCTAACGAATATTAACTAAAAATAAAAAATGAAATGTATCTTTTAATATGCATATCACATTGAATATAAGATTGGATAGACTAGAAACGAATGAAAGGCAATTAATATACATATATGTTTACCTCTTTAAATTATCATTTTAAAAGGACGTCGCTATCGTCTATATATATATATATATATTCCACTTCATGCTTCTGTCGTCTATGTATTTCTCTCTTTCTCTATTCTGATCTATCAAAAACGCATCTATACACATTCTTACTTCTACTATTTGTTTGTATAATGATTAATCGAATGTCTTATTTCGTAAAAACCTAAAGTCGTTATTATTCATCTATCTCTTTAATTTTTGGACCCTTCATGGCACGATAAATTGAATACAAAACAAAATTGTCTTAACAAAACTCAAATAATTTCTCTGCACTTACACTGCACTTTTTTTTGATACTCACTGACAACTACTTCAACGTTTTGTTCTCCGTCAACAATGATGAATGCATTCTTCTATTAACATTTCCTCTCTTTTTCTCTGTTCCACTTACATCATCGACAATCACACACCGTATGATAATGCTCGTTGCTATAGAGAAGAATGAACTCACACAGTTTTGTCGTCACCTTTTTCTTTTTTTCATTCGATTAAAATATATCAATGCTTTTATTTAGTCAGACAAATGACGCTTAGATCAACTTCTTCAGAGAAGAACAAAATAAAAACGAAGAAACTTTTGTACAGTTTAATCTATTTTTACACGAACTTTTATAGAAAATACACTTTTTCTCATTCTCGAGATATTTACATTATATAATGACATTGAAAAAAGAGGAAATTCTATTTCCACTAACCTATATGATTAAGTATTAAGAAATTTCTGTTATGAATTACGTTCAGTATTCAGTTTTCGTAATGGAAAAAAGAAAGAACTTGGAAAAGAATTCTAATTAATACAGAATGAATGCTACATGATATTTGTAGTTTATTTTTTATCCAAAATGACAAAAACTATAATCAATTGATTTTGGATATGATTCCCTAATCACATCGACTTACAAATTGCACAATGATGTGGCGAATACCGAAATCGTTAACTCCGTGCACTTATATTTCCATCATTGATTTAGTCATAGGTCAAGAATGGTTCTTTTATTTAGATCTTACCAATATCATTCATCTAAAACTCAAGATAGAAGAATTATTTGAAGATAACTATTTTGACAAAAGCATTATTATATAATTTTTTTCTTTCGTATAATTCGATCATGTATAAAATGATGACTATAAAATCCTTTTTTAATTATTGATGAAAATAAAAATATCAGAATAGCGTATGTGTTAGGAAATCTAAAGTCTATCGTTGAATGATATCGATTGAAATCGATATACAACTGTTCTATCTTCAACATGTAAATTTTTAATTTTTGAATATTGCAGATGAGGATGTGTGTGTAGACATGACTGGTGAAACAAAAAATATAACATCTTCATTCATGTTTTTCAAAAAAGGAGAATCGAAAGAAATTTCTAGGCATTAAATAGATTTTTGATTCGAAACTATGTATATTATGTATGCTTTAATGAGCGATGAATGCCTTGAAAGGAGTTCGTGCTCTAAAGAATAAGAATTAGAGTTTACTGGTATTTCTTATTGATTCAGACGCGCATCCGTATTCACATATAACAGTGGATATATACAATTTAAATAACTGTTCAGATCATTTGTAGCACGTCTGACAGAGCTTCCGTTTTTAGATTAATTAAGATTTTTTCTAAAAATACACTCATTATAAATAGCTTCACTTATCTTATGGATGCCATTCAATTTAAGTTATTAATAATCTTGATAATGAATTACATGTTTGAACTGTCATCGTTAGATAAATATAGTCTTTCAAATTTTTTCATTTCATTATCTAATCGACTAGTGAGAAAAAAATTTTGACATGCGTCCCTACCAACTTATTCACTATCTTTAATGTTTTTCATCAATGAGATATACTATTATGTAGTTTTTTTAGATAAAAACTTGTTTTGTCGTTACCGATAATTTCTTTTTACAAGAGCTCTTTTAGTTGCCACTTTTGGAGTTCGATACATTTTGTAAATATTCAGTTTCTCATTTATTTGATTAGGTGAATATTTTTCTTGTCTTAATCTCAGCACGTCACTCATAGCTTTTTCTTCCACAATTTTTATCTCGGGAATAGAGAAAAATCTTAGTTTTTTTTCTTTTTAAATGATTATATTCTGCCGACATGTTTGTTACTTCTTTTCATATTTCTACACTTTTATCTTGAAGTAAAAAACTGTTATTTGAAATAAGAAAAAAATCTTTGAGTAAATATTAATACTATTCATTCAGTTAGTGATTATGATAAAGTCATTATTCCCTCGTAATTATGTTAATGGTAGAAATACGAGCATAAGTTTTGCGATCATTCTTCATTTGAAAACGGGTTATACAAGAATTTATAGGAGACTAGTATGTATATTATCTATTTTTTTTTACGTACCCTGATATATTACTAGCGTTTCAACGCAGCCCCTTTGAAGTTAAAATATGAAACAAGGTTTACAGGCAAGGTAAGATGACAAGAAATCTCAATATAGAAACTCAGATATTTTTAACCAAGAATATCTTTCTATAAAGGCATCCTCACTATGAGAGAGAAACAAAAGGAAAAGAGCCAGAAATCTAGAGTTTTTAAGTGAAATCTCATCGAGTAGACGCTGAGCTGTTTGTTGAGATTTAGGAGTTTTTTTATATTAAATCTCAAAAAGCTTGTAAAACCTCAGGGAGGAACGCAAAACGAGGACGTATAATTTTCACTCACATTTTTATGTGAGAGTTCCACAAAATATACTCAGTTTCAATACATCTCTTTTATATACAACAAAAAATTCTATATGAATCAACACTATTCCTTACACTAAACGTGGCCCTGCTTATAAGATACTTTTTAATTTCAACATTATCGTATTCATTAAGTAACGTTGAAAAAACGATGTTGATTAGCCGGAAAAATTATACTTTTTTTTGATGATTTAAAAGAATATAGAATTTTCATCTGAATAATGCTCTGACGTCAATCTCACATTTTTTTTAAATACTTAGGGCGATCAAAAAATAGCGGCGTCCAGGCTTTATTTCCTTACAGAACCAGAAAAAAAATTTTTCTCGATAAATAGGAACAGCGTCTTTTGCTCTATTCATTCATAAAAAAAAGAATGTTTTTTTTCGTACAAGCAGGAAATAAGGCCTGGACGATACTATTTTAGATTGCCTTAAGTAAATGTCTGACACATGACTATCAAAAGTTATCAACTGCTACGTATATTTTATTTTTAATAGTGAAGATGGTTCCTATCCTATTGCATTCTATGTATAAAGCTTTTTCTTTTATTACCAAAATCTCATACGTCTGCGATGTCTATGAGTTGTGTTCTCTAAGAAAAACTAATCTGTCAGCAAGATGTGAGTAAAAAATATTCATTATTGTGATGCATTCTTTCAAGATATTAATCACCTCTCGATGATGCTTTTAGCAGAAAATAAAAAGAAATAATAACATAGAATGTGTGTTTTAGGACACTGAACATTTAAAAATTTCATAGATTTCTTTTTACTGAAAATAAATATGGTTTGTCATGCTATTCGTCTCTTCTAATATGAGAGTAACCTATTAATATGAAAAACATGCACACATCTAGTCGTCATCAATAATCAACGTGCCAATCTAAACTGAGGTTATAGGTGAGAAATCAGAATAAATCCTTCAACAAAATATATAGATGATCATTACACGAAAATGAAAAAGTTGAATTCCCATTGAATAAATTCGAGATCTACAGATACAATTCCCACCGTTTTGCTCTACTTTTCTTTGTATGATGGAAATGGATTTCATACTAGTTCAGTTCTTAAAAGCTTGCCTATTACGATCCATTTCTCATTTTGATAAAGATGTAATTCACCTTCATACTACGTCAGTTGTCTATTCAAATTATACTCAAAAGCTAAGCTGAGCTGTTCAAATGAAAAATGAGATAAATTCATCAAATTAGAATGCCAAAGGCGGTTCCTTAAGTATAAAACTTTTTATTTTCTCAAAGTAAATTAAATTGCGTATTTTTTATTCGTAGCTAATATTCTCTTAAGATTTCTACTCGCGTGTAATCGTAGGAGAAGAAGAAATGGAAGAAATTCTATGTTGAGTTATTTTTATTTATGTGTTTTCATTATTTTTAGAGAATATCAAGTTAAGAGGAAAACTATTGACAATGATAGATCATCATCCATATGTACTTGTTGATCTCTCAATTTCTCTCCCCATTCGATTTTGGCTATTTTTCGTCACATTTCTTTTATCAATCCTCTGCTGCATATTCGTTCTCTATCATCTACTCTTTGATCCTGTTCTTCGTCGTACTCTCAATAATCATGTTATCATCGTTCTATTATTCAATACTTTACTCTATGCACTCACAAGCATTCCATTACATCTCAGCTATTATTA